CTTCCGCTTCGACCAGAGCGGGCCCGAAGGCGCGTCCGCACCCGCCTGCGCCGCGGCCTCCGGCCCCCCCGGGCCCGCCTGCCGCAAAGACGCGCTCTGTGCCCCGGCCGCCGCTGCCTCCTCCGCCGCCGCCTCCTGTGGCGCGGGGGCCCGGGGCTTCGGAGGGGCCCCCGCCGCTGCCCGTCCTCGACGAGGGCATGTCGTTCGACGAGCGAGCGCGTCTCGCGCCGTTCCGCGGCGCGCTCTTTCGGGGGCTCACCGGACAGGGCCAGAGCCCACTGGCGCGGCATGTGGCCGCGCTTCCTCACGAAGGGGGATCGGGGGCGCGGCAGCCGTCGACTCCCTTGGCCGATAGCCGAACTCGGGGGGAGCGCCACAGGTCCCGTGACGGGGACGGCCGAGGGCCGCTTGCCCCGCCGTCGCCTGCCGACGCCGTCGCACGGCGTGCGGGGCCTCCAGGCACTGCGTCGTCGCCCGCAGGGTGCCTCGGGCAGCGGCGGCGCCGCGTGCAGCGTCCACACCACCTGCGGGGTATGAAGGCTCGGGGGCGCGTCCTCCAGCAGGCCTCCCCCGCTCGGCGAGCGCCACGGACGCCGCCGTGCAACGTGTTTCGCGTGCGCCCCTTCCCGCACGCGCCGCCCGTGCTCCTTTCGCCTCGATGGCGCAGCTGTTTCGAGCAGACGCTCGATCGGACGTTGTCGCCGCCGACCGCCGCCGACCGCTCAGCGCCCTGGCCGCCGCCGCCCCCGCCGCCGCTGCTGGCGCGGAGGCGGGCTCTGCTACCGAACGACCGCCCTCGGGCACGCCTGAGCGGGGGCCGCCCTCTCCTGAGGCAGGCGAGGGGGGAACCAGCAGGGTCGCTACGGCCTTGCAGGGTTCCCCGCCCGCCGCCGAGGTTGCTAGGGCTCGGCCTGCTGCTCGCAGATGGCGCCGCGCGGAGCGGACCGCCAGCGCCGCCCCGCGGGATGACCTCACCGCTGCTGCCGGAGGCTCCGCTGGGGACATTGGCCCTGGCACGGTCAGTCGCGCCGCGCGATTGCCGGTCGATCGGGGTACCTACCTCGCCCTTGCGATCGCGGAGCGCCGCTCCCGGTCGCTCCATGCATTCGAGCTCTGGCTCGAGGAGCTCACGGGTGTGTTCCCCGACACTCTCTACCGCAGCGGGATCCTCTTGGCCAGATTCCTTGCCACTTTCGGGGTTTGCCTTTATGACGCGGGCCTTCCGCACTATCTTTTCGCCCATGCCACTCTTGGCATTCAGGCCCAACACCCTCATTGGAAGGTGTTTCTTTCTCCGGCCTGGGACGTTGCCAAACAGTGGAAGCGGGCCGAGCCACAGCGGCTCCGCCCTCCACTCCCACGTGCTCTGCTGCGAGCGATGGTGTGCCTTTGTCTGGCCTGGGACTGGCCCGAGATGGCAGCACTGCTGTTGGCAGGGTTTACTATGTCCCTGCACTTCGGAGAGGTCTTGAACGCATGGCGATGCCACCTGTCGTTGCCATGTGACCGCCTTGAGGCTGAAGGTGACGCCTTTTTGGTGATCCAAGTTTCGACAACTCGTTGGTCGCACTCGTGGCATTCGTCCCGACTCACCGAGCGCGTTTACCAACGCGCTCGCAGCTCGGATCGAGCGACGGTCAGAATAATGGAACTGTTTTTCCGCAGTTTGGGGCCCGCCGATCCGCTATCGACCTTCGGTCCAAGCGGCTTCCGTACTCGGTGGAACTCTCTCCTGGTTGCGCTTGGCGTGCCACTGCACAAGGCCCCTGCAGGGTTTCACTTTACCCCTGCTTGCCTTCGAGGCCCATCAGAAGCTATGGATTTTCATATCGCTACCGAAGACGTCCCGTGTGTCTTCTGGCACAGTCGTTGGCGCCAAACGTCCTGCGCCGAGCGATATATTCTGGCTAATGGTGCCTCCACTGTCCTTGCCACCCCCCCCGACGCCGCGAGGGCTCGGGTCGAGTACTTTGCCTGTGCTAGCGACTTCCTTGTCGCTTCTTTTCTCGCACATGGCCCTGCTGTGTGGCCTCTGCGTCTTGCAGCCGCCCGCCGATCTCTTGTCACTTCGCAAGGGCTTTGAGCATGGGCATGGCTGCTACGCCCCCCTGGGCGTCCAGGGGCCGCCGTCGAACGACGCCTCCTGAGTGCGCCGCACAGGGCCCCCGCGCGTCGGTCCGCTCTGCCTTCGCGGTCCGTCGCGCGCGCCCCGCGCGCCGCCTCCGAGACGACTGCTCCTCTGCGTAGCGTGCGGGGATGCTCTCTCATATCCCCGCCGCGCCCGCGATGCGCAGTCGGTCTGCAGCTTCTCGGCCCCCTCCCTCTCCGCCCTCCTCAAAGGCTAGCCTGCGGCGCTGCTACGCCCCCCTGGGCGTCCAGGAGCCGCCGTCGAGCGACGCCTCCTGAGTGCGCCGCACGGGGCCCCCGCGCGTCGGTCCGCTCTGCCTTCGCGGTCCGTCGCGCGCGCCCCGCGCGCCGCCTCCGAGACGACTGCTCCTCTGCGTAGCGTGCGGGGATGCTCTCTCAGATCCCCGCCGCGCCCGCGATGCGCAGTCGGTCTGCAGCTTCTCGGCCCCCTCCCTCTCCGCCCTCCTCAAAGGCTAGCCTGCGGCGCTGCTACGCCCCCCTGGGCGTCCAGGAGCCGCCGTCGAGCGACGCCTCCTGAGTGCGCCGCACGAGGCCCCCGCGCGTCGGTCCGCTTTGCCTTCGCGGTCCGTCGCGCGCGCCCCGCGCGCCGCCTCCGAGACGACTGCTCCTCTGCGTAGCGTGCGGGGATGCTCTCTCATATCCCCGCCGCGCCCGCGATGCGCAGTCGGTCTGCAGCTTCTCGGCCCCCTCCCTCTCCGCCCTCCTCAAAGGCTAGCCTGCGGCGCTGCTGCGCCCCCCTGGGCGCACTCAGGAGCCGCCGTCGAGCGACGCCTCCTGAGTGCGCCGCACGGGGCCCCCGCGCGTCGGACCGCTTTGCCTTCGCGGTCCGTCGCGCGCGCCCCGCGCGCCGCCTCCGAGACGACTGCTCCTCTGCGTAGCGTGCGGGGATCCTCCTCCTCCTCCTCCTCCTCCGCCCCCCTCCTCCTCCTCCTCCTCCCTCCTCCTCCTCCTCCGCCTCCTCCTCCTCCTCCTCCCCCTCCTCCTCCTCCTCCTCCTCCTCCTCCTCCTCCTCCTCCTCCTCTTCCTCCTCCTCCTCCTCCTCCTCCTCCTCCCCCCGCTTAGCTGCCGGCAGTTTGTCTCTTGGGCCCTCTTGCGACACCCTTGCGGCGCTCTTGGGGTTCGGGGCCGTCTCGAGCGCTTCTGGCCTCCTCTTGGCCCTCTTCGGGCTCTCTTGGGCGATCTTAGAGCCGTCTTGGAGCTCGAGAGGTCCACCGGAAGCGAGCAGGCGAAACAACAAGCAGTCAAGTGCGTGCCTGCGTGCGCAAAGCGAGGAGGGAGAGGAAAGGGAGGGAGGACGAGGCAGGACGAGGACGAGTGAGAGAGGGACATCTTGCCCGGGCGGCCGCAGGTCGCCTTCAGGCCCGCAGCGCGGCCCCCAGGCCCAGTCCCAGAAAAGGCCTTCGATGCCGACGGCGCTGGCAGAGGGAAGCGTGCCGGCGCGGGTGCCGGCGCGAGACGAGTCGGGGAGGGCGGCAAGCGGGGCTAGCCAGCTCCGCCTCGCGGGCTAGGCCTTGGGCCCGCCCCTGCATCGCCCCCCCCGCGCCCGTGCTGCAGGCGGTGCGGGATCAAGACGACCCCGCAGCGCCGAAGAAAAGGAGTGAAGTGCCAGGGTCGAACGCGCCCGCGCACGTGCAGTGCGCGGGCGCAAAAGCGAGCCGGCAACGCGCGACAGCGCGTAAGTCAACGTGTCCGTCAGCCCGCGGGAGCTCGAGGTAACACTGGCCCCCGCGGGGGACGGAAAGTACCGAATCGTGTGCTGCTCGCATTAGCGCTCGGGAAAGAGAGGCGGGGAGGGAGGCACGCCCCGGGCTGCTGCGCCACCTGCACAGGAGCTCGGCGAAGTGCAGGCCTCGCCCTCACGATGCCCTGGGGTGCTGAGCCCGTCGGCCAGCGGGAGCTCGCGGCGGCACTGGCTCCCACTCAGGCTGGAACAAAAACGCCAAGCTGCGCGCGACTCGCACGGCCGCTCGGAAAGAGAGAGGGCGGAAAAGAGAAGCACGCCCCGAGCTGCTGCGCCCCTCGCGCGGGAGCTCGAAGCAAAGCTCGACCTCGCCCTCACGGTGCCCTGGAGGCAAAGAGCCAACTGCTGGCTCGAGGGCAACGGCGGCAGGGGGAACCCCAGGGCGGGCTGTGCGACCTGCATCCCCCGCCGACCGCGCCAAAGTCCTGTGCAAGACATTGCGCGCCGAGGAGCCCCCGACGAGCAAAAGTGTGCGCGCATGGGCACGCAGGCGGTGCGTGCGGCGGGCGGCGCAGGCTGCGCGGGCGCGCCGTGGTGGCTGGGGTCCCCGCCCTCGCCTCAGCTCCTGGGCGCGGCGGGCTGGGGGCCCCGCCCCTTGCCGCGCGCCTCCCCCATGTGGGGAACCCACTCGGGGCGCGTGTACGGCTGCCCGGCGGCGGCGCACTCGCGCTCGCGGCGCCGCTCGTTCTTCCCTCACACCTGCTTCCCGCTGCGCGGGGCACGCGCCAGGTTGGCCCTGCGCTTCTCGGGCGGCCGCTCCAGGGGGAGCGGGGGCCGGGGGAGCGGGGACCTCTCGCCGCTGGCGCTGCGCGCCCGCTCCCCCGTCCCTCCGCGGCTCCTGCCGCGGGGGGGGCGGTGCGCCGGGGCCGCCTTCTCCCCGCGCGTCCGGCCGCGCCGGGGGCTCGCCTCGCGGGCTGCTCCGGCGCGCTCACTGCGGCGCGCGCGGCTCGCCCCGCGGGCTGGCCGCTCGCGCGCGTCCACCTCCTCCTTCGCCTCCTCTTTTTTCCTCCTCCTCCTCCTCCTCCTCCTCCTCCTCCTCCTCCTCCTCCTCCTCCTCCTCCTCCTCCTCCTCCTCCTCCTCCTCGCCGGTGGACTCGTCGTCGCTGGCCGCCGGCAGCAGGTAGCAGTTGTCGCACATCGACCCGCGGCACGACGGGCAGCGCCAGCGGTGCAGCCCCGCATTGCGGGCGCCGCCGAAGCAGCCCCGCTCGCCGAGGCTGCACTTCCACCCCCCCGGGTTGGGGTCGGCCGCTGAGCTCCACCGGAGCTGCTTGTCGCAGCTGGCGCACGACGGGGGGGGCACGGCTGGGCCCCCCCCCCCATCCGAGGGGTACTGGGACCGCGCCTCAGCCGCACCTGCGGGTCGCCGCGCCCCTCCCAGAACACGTGCCGCTCGTCGATCTCGTGTTGGGCCCTCGCCGCGGCTGCCCCGGCGGAAGCTCCGACGAACTCCACCAGGGCCGCCCCCTCCTGCTTCCGCCGAGCATCGAGCAGCCACCCGGTGTACCCGAGGGGCCCGCACCGACCGAGGACGAACGTCACGTCCCCGACCCGCCGCGGTGGGCTGGTCGGGTGGCGGGGGGCCCTCTTCGGCTTGGGCTCCATCCGAGGCCTCGACCTGCTGCGAGCGCCCGCCGAGGGGCGGCCGCTGGGCGCGGGGTGCTGGCGGTCGCCTCCAGAGCCCCCGCTGACATTGTTCCCAGAGGCTTAGCTCGATTTCTAAGGTCTGGAACTTCGCCGGGCCGTGCCTGACGAAATTCTCTGTTGGTTCCCGCGTTGTCCGCTTCCTTCGGTGTCCACGATGGCAGTCATCTGTCGCGATTTGTGGGGCTATGGAACGAAGGCGGATCCAGCGGGCGAGGAAATTCGGTTTAATTGTTTTGGACGAGGGCGCGCCGCGGGGTTAGAAGGCTCTGCAGCGGTTGGTCTCGTAGTGCCATTCCCTCAGAGGAGGGGGTGCTCGAGCGCAGGACCGTGCGGGCAGAAGACCAGCGCTTTCTGCTCCCTGCCTCCGTAACCCCTTCAGGCCCCAGCTCAATTCGCGTTTGCGTGAAGTCTGCTGCGCCGAGATATTGGTAGTGTCGTATTGGGCTCGCCGCAAGACATCCGGTCGATTGTTCGAGGGTGTAGCGTTGGTAAACAGGACGGTCTAGTTACGGAAGTAGACATCGGCCTCCTCAGAGACGGCGAGGGTTTTGGGGTTGCGGGTTTTTGAACCCTCCTCCTCGTCCTCCTCCTCCTCCTCCTCCTCCTCCTCCTCCTTCCCCTTCCCCTTCTCCTCCTCCTCCTCCTCCTCCTCCTCCTCCTCCTCCTCGCCCCCGCACGCCCCGAGCCCGCGCCCGACGCCGCGCCGCCCCCGCTGCGGCGCAGGCACCAGCCGGGCGCCCGGAACGCGGCAGGCCACCCGGCCGCGGCCGCGGCCGCCGAGCAGGCTCCGGGGGAGGGAGGGGGGGCGAGAGGGAGGGAGGGAGAGGAGGGGGGAGGGCGAGGAGGGGGAGGAGGGGGGGGGAGGGGGGGGGGCAAGCTAGGTGCGCTCGCGTCAACATCTGACATCCTACCCCTCCCTCCCATCCCTTCCCATTGAGCTACTTCATTGTCCTCTCACCGAATCGGGCTTCGCATCTGACCCTGTTACCTAAGAGGGAAAGGAGGAGGACGACGGCGCGATGAAAACGAAGACGACGACGACGAAGACGACGACGACGACGACAACCACGACGACGACGACGACGGCGGCGACGACGACGACGACGACGATGAGGACGACCGGCGACGAAGACGACGACGACGACGACGCGACCGCGCCGAAGCGGCACCCGCGCCAGCTGCCCGCTGCCGTTACGCGCGTCCCCCACCCGGATCTCAAATTTCTGCAGGGGTGAAAGGAGAGTAGCATTCATATTGGGTAATGGTAGAGTGGGTCCGATGAAAGGAGAGTAGCATTCTGCAGCGGGAGCAACATTCTGAAGGACCGGAAAGACTCGGATTTTCAAAAACATAGATGAAAACCAAACTCCCGGGAATCCTGTGCGGAAAAGGACGCCGCCCAAAAGGGGGGGGGGCTTTCTGCGGCCCCAAAAATCAACGAATCGACACCGGATGTGTAATCACCTCCAATGTTTTTGCCGGGGATCATTTTCTAGATTTGGGGCTTCTTAAAAAGGATCGAAAACGTCGGCGCTGCAGCGGGAGCACGTTTTGGAACAACGAGAGGCGCAGAAATTGGGCCAGCGCTGCAGCGGGAGCACGATTCGGAACGAGCGGGAGCGCGGAAATGAGGCCAGCGCTGCAGCGGGAACACGATTCGGAAGGAGCGGGAGCCCGAAAATTAGGCCAGCGCCTCAGCGAGAGCAGCATTTTAGAAAAAAACACCAGCGAAAACCCAACTCCGGGGAATCCTGTGTGTAAAAAAACAGTACGCGGGGGGGTGCCGAACATCTTCCGGACGCCATCAGGGGAAGTGGGAGAGTAGTATTCATATTGTGTAATTGTGGAGCGATGCGGGTGGGCGAAGGGTGGGGGGCAAGGATGGGGGGGCGAGGAGGGGGGGGGGAGGGGGCAGGGAGGGGGGGGTGGCGAGGAGGAGGGAGGGCGAGAGGGGCGGCGAGGAGGGAGGAGGGGAGGCGGGGATCGGAGGCCTAGAAATTTGCACCTCGACGAATTCCATCTCTAGCCTGGTCAGACGGGCCCCCTGCGGCCTCGGCGACACCGGTTCCGAACAGGATCCAGGGAGGAGGGAAGGCGAGGATCGGAGGCCTGGTGCCAGCACCGGTCTCGGCGGTTGCCTCCACGGGACTCCACCGAGGGAAAAGGATCCTGATCTCTAGGGCTTCCAGGGTGGCCGACAGTTCCCCACCAGCTCCGGAAGCTGTGGGATCCCACGAGGGAGGTCCTCGCCATGCCGCGGGCCGCCAGGCCGCGGCGGGGGCCCCAGCCGCGGCGCGCGGCAGGCGCGGCCGCAGCCGGCCGCTCGTGGCGCAGCGGTCGCGGAGGCGCTGAGCGCCGCCTGGCCCGAGGCGCGGCAGGCGCGCGGCAAGGCGCGCGGAGGCGGGCGCCGCTCGGCCAGAGCCCCGCGAGTTTCTCGAGGGGCGCCGTGCTCGCCGCTCCGCCAGAGTCCGGCCAGGCCCCCCACGAGGGGGCCCGCTCGCAGGCCTGGAGGTCGACACCAGCACCAGTATCGGCGGTGTGCCTCCACCGACGGAGGAGGACCCCGATCTCGGTGACGGTGGTGATATTCTGACTTCCGAGGTGGCCGAACTATTACCACCGACACCGAAGTCTAGGATCGTCTTCCCCCTGTGGAGGCAACCCCCTGTGCTGGTGTTGGTGCCCATTTCCAGGCCTCCAACCCTCAGGAGGGGACAAAAACACACAGACACAATTAATCGTCCACTCCCAGGAAAATATGGGAAAATATGGGAAGTGAGAGGAAGACAAAAAAAAAAAAGCAGAAAATATGGAAACAAATGGGGGATCCTTTTATGTGTGTGTATTTATTTGTGTGTCTCAGGGCCGCTTCAAGCCCGCGCGCTATCCGGCGGAGTGCCGTGCTGCGCTGGAGGCCGGCGGCGGGGCCCTCGAGGCTGGCGGGCTGCGGGTGCCAGTCGCCGCCCCCTGGCTGGCCACGGGCGGCCCGAGGCGTGGCGGGCGCCGCCCGGCCCGCAGCGCGCGGGCGCGGGAGGCGCGCGGAGCTGGGCGCCGTCGCGCAGTCGAAGGCCATCGCAAGAGCGCGCTGCCTCACCGAGGCTGGCCTTGCATCCCTCTCCTCATCCTCCTCCTCTTCCTCCTCCTCCTCCTACTTATCTTCATCCTCCTCCTCTTCTTCTCCTCATCTCCTCCCCCTCCCCTCCCCTGCTTCGCCGGCCCATCCTGCGCCAGTGTCGACGCCCAGGGCGCGCCGCATGGCAACTGGGACGTCCAAGGGTCGTGCATCCCTGCCTCGCACCCTCACTGCGGATCTGGAATGGGCTGGGGTCGGGCGGCAAGGCTCTCGATGTCGGCGGGTTCCGTGTTCCAGCGGCCGAGCACTGGCAGCGCCCGCGGGTGCACCGAAGCCGCGGCCCGGCTGCCACGGCCCCGCTGCCGCTGCTGGCCGCACCTGCCCACCCGACATGGAAGTCTTCCGCGTCTGCGTGCCCTCCCCCTCCTCCTGTCCTCCGCGGCCGCCGTGTCCCGCTTTTTCCCCTTCGTGCACGCTGGCTACTGCGCTGATCGGTCGCCCCGGATCGCCGCTCGCTGGTGCAGCGTTTCTGCCTCGCCGCCGGCGAAGCAAGTTCCAGCAGCTGCCCACCATCCTGGGTTAAGTCGGGCGCGGCCTTTGCTACAGGGGGAAAATTCGAAAATAGTTCAACAAATAGTCCAGGGACGACTTTGGGACTATCTTTGGCTACAGTCAACGCGCCTAGTCAGGACGCGCGCCTTCATCTAGCGCTTCCCGACGGCGCGCCGCGCCGTCTGGCCCGCGGCGCGACTATAGTCCTCTGTGGGTCCGGTGTCCGGGGTGTCCGGGGTGTCCTGCGAGTTCCGGTGTGCCCGGGCCGTCCGGGCCGTCCGGGCCGTCCGGGCTGTCCGGGCTGTCCGGGGTGTCCGCGGTGTCCGGGGTGTCCGGGGTGTCGGGGGTGTCCGGGGTGTCCGGGGGACGTGTCCGGGGTGTCCGCGGTGTCCGGGGTGTCCGGGGTGTCCGGGGTGTCCGGGGGACGTGTCCGGGGTGTCCGGAGTGTCCGGGGTGTCCGGAGTGTCCAGGGTGTCCGGGGTGTCCGGGGTGCCGCCCGCATGCGTCATGCACACCCAATTAGGCACACCCTCACACGTTTCGTGACCCCATAGGGAGCTCCGCCGAAGGCCCCAGTGCTGCCGCCCGAATGCGTCACGCACACCCAATTCGGCACACCCCTCACACGTTTCGTGGCCCCGTAGGGAGCTCCACCGAATTAGGCCCCAGTGCTGCCGCCCGCATGCGTCACGCACACCCACGGTGTCCGGGGTGTCCGGGGTGTCCGGGGTGTCCGGGGTGTCCGGGATCTCCTCTTCCAACTCCCCTTCCTCCTCCTTCTCCTCGTCCTCCTCCTCCTCTTTTTTTTCCTGCTCCTCCTCCTCCTCTTCCTCCTCCTCCTCCTCCTCCTCCTCCTCTTCCTCCTCCTCTTCCGCCTCCTACTCCTCCCTGCTGCCTCCGGGGCTTGGGTCGTCAAGCCGTTTCTTGACGGTCCCAAGGCCTGGGTCGTCGCCGTCGTCGTCGTTCATGGTCGACGGCGCCGGCCGTAAAACCTTCACTCAAGGATGGGGCGTTCAGTGGGGCTGGCGGGACATTGAATGTAACCCTCATATGTGATGGGCCAAGACGCCGGTCGGGCGGGCGGGACAGTAAACGAAACTTTCACTCAGGGGTAAGGCATCCGGTCGGGCGGGCGGGGCAGTAAATGTAGCCTTCATGATGGGCCAAGGTTGGAGGGAACGATGTTACAACCACCGACAACGCGGGTCGGGCGTGCGGGATATGAAATGCAACCGCGACTCAGAAATGGCATTTTGGGGAGATCGGTCGATCCCCCCGTACCCCAGCATTCTTTTTATTACTACTACTACTACTACTATTATTATTATTATTATTAGTAGTAGTAGTAGTATTATGATTATTAGTATTATTATTATCATTATTATATATTATTATTATTATTATTAATAATATTAGTATTATTATTAGCATTTATAGTAGTAATATTATTTCTATTTTTTTGTGTTAGAAATATATTACTGCTACTACTGTTATTACTATTATTATTAATATATGTGTGTGCGTGTGTAAATGTATATATACATATATATATATATATATATATACACACGAGATTTTACCGGCTCGCTTCGCTTCGCCTTCAAAATCTTGGTCGCATGGCGCCAGAGAGGCGCGATGGGACCGGCAGTCGTCACTGCCGCGGTGCGATTCGGGAAGTGGTCATGGGTGTCATAGGACTCATTGGAATTGTACGGCTCCTGGGGTTCCGTGAGGTCATCGGCTCTTGGGAATCATCGGGCTTGTAAGGTCCGTGAGGCTCAGAAGGCTCATAGGGCTCATTGGGTCTCATGGCGCCACAGGGATCGCAGGGCTCGTCAGGCTCACAGGGGTCGTAGGGCTCATATGGCTCACAGGGCTCCAGTGCTCCTAGGGCTCATGGGGCTCATGGTCCCATAGGGCTCGTAGGGCTCGCAGGGCTTCTAGGGCTCATAGGGCTCACAGGGCTCATAGGGCTCACAGGGCTCATTGGGCTCATAGGTCTCGTGGTGCCCGCGGGGCTCATAGTGCTCATAGGGCTCCTGGGGCTCGTAGGGCTCATGGGACCCATACGGCCCGTAGGGCTCATAGGGGTCATCAGGTTCATGAGGCCCATGCGGCTCACAGCAGTCATAAGGCTCATAAGGCCTATAGGGTCATAG